TCAATATATACACTAATTATATATTGATAATTAGTATATTGATAATTAGTATATTGATAATATACTAATTCTAACTTTGCGTAAAGACATTGGATATTGTTGTCAGCCAAAAATTTGTGTCGTGGTTTGTATTCACGAAGTGACATGGAATGATCCATTAAACTTTTAAATAAATTAAATATGTAGATCCATTAAAAAAATTTCAGCTTGCAGATAAACCGTGAAGAAAAACTTGGCTCTTTTCCACTGATACGCCATAAGTCAAGTCTGATAAGTCAAGGCGTATTTAACGGTATTTATAATTTTCCAATACCAATAACTAAGATATCGAAATTTCTTAAAGATTTTTCAATAATTGAAATTAATTGGGCTTAACATGGCCTACTCATATTAATGAAACGATTAATGCAGCAATTAAAACGTTAAGTAAATTTGTCCCCTACACTCTGGTAAAGAGCGTAATCTTAACACTTTAACTTTCTAATTTCAAAAATAATTTCAAAAATAATTTATAATGCATAATTATAATGCATTCATGTGAAAGTCGGTAATCTTTTCACCTGAATTGATACATATATTTGCTCCAAAGATACTACGCCATTATCATGGCAGGAGTGATGCATTCAAATCTGGAAATATTGGAAAAGCACGTGTGCCAATATATTTTTTGCAAAAATCCACCGTTATTGACGAAATTAAGTAGAAGTGAGTGTAATAGGAATATAAGGATAGGTTTTACTTTGTTTCGTGCATATCGCCTAGAAAATTGTAATTGCAGAAAAAACAATCCATGCTCTTACTAAGCAATTTCTCTTTTTTTCATCGATGCAAGAAAATTTTGAAAACGATTACCGGTAAACTGCTCGCGCTCATATGCACACGCTCATCTGCTCACGATCATCGGCACACCCTCGATTGCACACCTACACATTTTGCACACGGATGATTCTGCACACCCTCATCGGCACACCCTCAACTGCACACGTAAACATTCTGCTCACCAATCATTCTGCACATCGAATTATTCTTTCACAAATATTGTACCAAACTATGTACCAAAAGTTTCAACATTTGTCCGTGTCCGACGGCAAGAAACGAAGCCATTCGTACTCGAAGAAGAGATAACCCTTTGTATGTATGTACTTCAATCCAGAGTGTGCAACGGCAAAAAGGCATGCCGTGCCTAAAATGCCTTTTTGCCTATCAGGCACGTGAATTTTGGCCATGCCCGATTGCCCGAAATGCCTTTTTGGGTTTTCGGTTAAGTCGGGGCAATGCGATAATACGATCCCATGATTTGTCCGCTGTAATCTTTCACAGTTCACAGAATTTGTCGATATGTGAATAATTAAGATTAGATTATCATCTATATAGATGTACATTTACATATGAAGATTAACAATTTAAATATGCAGTGCTAGCCTGAAATTACGACACCTAAAGTTTTTATGATTATTTTGCGTACTTGTAGCCCAAAAAACCTAAAATTTCCAGAAAATGAAGATTTTATCTAATTTTATCTAAATAATTTTAAGATTTTATCCAGAAAATGAAGAGTAAATCCTATAGTTCACTTGGTTCTGGAAGTTACGTCTCTCCAGAATCAAAAGCAAAATTTCAATTTTGAGGTTGCACACGAAATTACGACACTTAATGCAGGTCACGCTTCAAAAATTGTTTTGAAAATTTCCAGAAAACTTAACCATGTGCGGATTTTTTATTATGAAACTACAACCATATTACGTATTATAATGCGTTTGTGGGTTTTCAGTTTCAAGTATTTATAGAACGATTAAATAGAAATCCACTTTAGAAATCCACTCGAAATGACATCTAACTATTACTATTGATTTAGGGTTAATTTAATTCGCCTTTATTTCGGACACCAGAATTAATGCGAGTATGTATTTTGTAACTCTGGAACTATAATTCAAACATGGGGGCAGGCGGGTAATTGGTTCATTAACATTAACTGGGCGAAAAGCGATGGTGCAAATTTATTTGACAAAAATGTATTCTTTGTTGAATAACCTTAACTTGTTTGTTTATACCTTTGGAAGCAGCCTTATTCAAATGAATCCTAGTCCAGTTAGGTGAATTATACACTTTCCATGATGGGCTCATCATTATGCGAACTTTTAGCAATGATAATTATGCAAAGTGGAATCTTACCTATGATGCGACTATTTCAGGAAGTAAGATTCTTATTTCATAACATGGTTATTTGACAGTGGATTCTTTAACAAACGTAAGAAATGCAAGAATTTGTAGTCTGGTAAATAGTTTATATATTCCTCAAGATGTAAGCGAGTAGAAAGTAGTCATGATAAATATATAGGTGATGAATGTATTGTTTGCGTAATTTTTATTATATTTTACTTTGCTTCAGGGCTTCGAAGATGGTTTCTAAAAGGTTTGCGAATAACGCTAATGTGTATTTCTTTCCCGCGGGTAACAATATTGGGTAGAGTTTACCTAATCTGTATGTAAACGATTAGACATTTCGCTAAATTATGTTGATGTATGTATTTATTAGTACGTCCAATTTCTGTAGTGAATAGGTACATAATCACCCATGTCATATGGATTATTCCGGCCTTCTTCGCTTTATTGAAGTTTTTGTGGTAGGCCAATTAAAATCTTACCCAGTTCTCTCATGCCTGCACCTAATTTGTGTAATGAAGCTGTATAAATATTGTCGTGAGCAAGCTTTCCGACAGGAAAAGAGTCAAAATTTTGAGAAACTTTTCAACTATTTGTAAATTGTACTTGGTCCTGCAAATTACATATTTCTAGAGAACCGAATTTGACAATAAGGAGTGAATTTATGTCAACTATAATTTTAAACTAATTAAATAAATTATTAAATTGTTCTTATTTTTTATGTAGTGTATTTAAATATTTATTATTTTTGCCAATGCACATGTTTTTGTATAAGAAGTATTTATATGGAAAATAAAATCAAAATAAATTGTAAGTCGTACACAGCTGTTTGATTAATCATTTTATTTAGTTGTTGCAATAGAACGTAATATTAGAACCATTTTAATTATTATTGAATAATAGATTAATTTGTACATATTTACATAATTACCCAAATTCTCTAAAATTAGGTTGTTCAGGTATTTGCTTACGTACGTATGTATATATTTAATGGTACTTGGTCCCAGATCCAGCATCGGTTCAGATCCTATTTGATAAAGTTTGATCTTATTCTTTAAAATGTAATCGATTGAGGTTACGTGAACAAATACATAAATCGTCACTATTCTCATTAAAATCTCTGATTTAAAATTTCCCATTGTAACCTGTCACACACTCCTGTTCATTAAATCTTATTAATATTTTGTTAATAAATAACGAATTTAGTATATGCTAACTTCATTTCGCCGTGATATTTTTGTGGCATCGAAGATTTTAATTTATACCAATTGCATAATTCTGTTGTGTTAATATGTCTGCGTTTAAAATTAATTGATCCAAAAACTGGTATGAATATTTGTAGATTTCCAAATTTTAAGCTTACGAGTTTTTATGTATGTATGTACGATCAGAGTAAATCAAGTCAAAGTGGCTTGTCTTCACATACATAATAAATTAAGTAATTACAATATGCATGAAATAAATGAAATCTGTGTTTGCATAATTATAACTTTTCTTCTGTTATGAAAAAAAATATTTATGTATGTATGGGGTGTTCCATAAGTATCCGGAATTTTTTCAATCGCATATATCTATGGGATATCAGGTTGCCCCAAATTCGAAATGACCGAGGTCGTGTAGCACAGACATCTATCTACCAAAATCCGAAAACCAGAAGTCGATATCTCTTACCGTTCCAAAACGGGGTCAAAAACCCTGGAGCAACTTGCAAAAGCTGTCCGCCACTACCTCGAAAAAGTGGTTACGCGCGTCAAGAAATTGAGTTGTAGCAACTTTAAAGACCAAATAATTCAAAAACCGAAAATTTGTTATGCACTACTGAGGTATGAGCTACAAAAAACTGCTAATCACAAAAAAATATCTGGTCGCCCCATTCGTATGGCAGCACCCAAACTGATAAGATTCGTAAAAACAGAAATCTGCACTTTCGGAGCGTAATTCGATTCAGTACTTAAAGTTATCACCTAACATAATACATCATTTTAAAGCTTAGAACTTGGACATTAAATCCAATAAGGTTTTATAAACTTACAAATACAGTGGAGAATAAAATAAAAGTATCAAACCAGATGACGGAAAAACGACTCGACCTGAAGTCATCAAAATTGGACGTCCCGTACAATACGATTTACAACCAAGATCATCAAAATGATTTTATTTCCACATAATACAACTCTACCAGCTTCAAGAAAACTAGATAAGCAAAACTTTAAAATAAATCTAAGCAAAATTATCACGCTCCGCCTGAAAACGGATCAAATGCAATTAACATGGGAGAGGTGAACAACGTTCCCAAATTTGTCTCAAACAAGACCTATTGAAGAATTTCTGTCTTTATCCAGTGAAGAATATCATAGTCGAAAAACTTCAGCCAAAATTTTGAACTTATTTCACAAAGTGTGGTCAATAATGGCAAAAAAGGTAGCTCAAAACAGTGGCGAAGCACTTTCTGGACCGTCTCACAAAAGCTTCTACAGTTTTGGCGGAAGGGGGTGCATGAACCATTTGAAGCAAAAAATAATTAGTTTCAGCCCTTGTCTACTTCTGACCAAAACTGTGTCTAAATAACTTTGTTACTTTATTTTATATGAGCGAATTCAAAAGTTCCGGATACTTATGGGACACCCCATATTTATATTATGTTGAATTTTTTATTTGATAAACCATCCGTACGAAAAATTGACTATTTCCGTAACAAATTTGTTTTGAACGGCATAATTTTAATACAAAGCGGTAGCAAGTTTTATAACACGGAGAAATCGATACACCCGTAATTATGTACATATATATGTATGCCTGATTTCTAACAGTATGTTGTAAATATGTAGTTTAATGAATTTAATGCAAAGTCCGTAATTTATTAATCCAATATTTATAATATCTGTAATTCATGTACTGTCTATTTTGAAACTTGTTTACATACACTTTTCTCATCTCATCTATTTGTTCGTAAGTTACTTGTGTAATATTTATGTTAGTAATGCATAGATAATATTAAAATTAACCAATTCACATGCACATTATATGTACTTACTATGCTAGTTAAGTATTAAAATGTAAATATTTAATTGACAAATATGTAAGTACATACATATGGAAGTAAATTCCTATTACTTGTGCAATTTAAAACCTTGAAATAAATTTCTTTCAATTTATACGGCAAAGTCAAATATGTCCCATTACGTTATTTACGTTGATTACGTTACGTTGATTACGTTTATTACGTTATTTCCTGAATCATACACATGCCCAAAATCCAATTTCGCTACTAACTAACATTACAAATTTGTTTAAAATCTAATTCGAATTTTATCCAATTTCTCCAAATCGTTTAAAAAAACATCAATTAAATCGTTAACGACCCAACTCCCCAGAACATTCTTGCATACAAATAGTCTATCACTTTTATATAATCAATTAAGCAATTTACCCTAACATTTTCCTCCCAATTTGTGTTATATATCACAACCATGCGTTGAATTGCAAGTGCAGATTCAGCCAGGATTTCCTGTCCCGAAAGCTTGTCAATGATGCATTCCACCCTATACACATCGTAGGAATTGTTCTCCAGTGCTGGATGGGATGGACCTTTCCACCTACACCCCACCGAAGGACCCGCCTTGCGACATCGGATATTTTGGGGAAACTGTCCCAACTCGGAGGTACGGCTAATTTCTAAGAAGTTACTCAAGGGAAAAATCTTATCGTGGTCTGCTTGGCCATAGAAAACCGATGAGTGATGCCCATCGTACCTATGATAGACAGCATAATAGGATTGCACCGCCTCGATCCTATAATTTGAAAGAATAAATAAAATATTAATTACATATATTCCGTACAATATATTATGCAATCGAATATACTAATTAACCCTTTCACGTGTATGATTAACGACAAGAAAATGGATTGAATCGGGTACGCTATAAGTATGTTGTGGTCATGGCACGGGAGGAGAAATTCAGTTTTTAATAAAACTCGAAAAACTGAAAAATCAAAAATTTAACCTTGAGTTGTATAGGTAAATATCAAAATTTTTGTGAAGAAAATCTTCAAATTTAGCATTGTGTTGGCATAGGAGATATCCCTCAAAATTGCAACAAATTTTAGGTGGCGGAGAGAAAATGGTGAAAATCAATGACCTCCTAGAAACGACAAGTGTCTTCCTTCCGCGCCATGACCACGATTTTTCAGGACGACTTTTGTCGTACTCCCGAATTAAACCATTTCTTATAAAACGACAATTGTCGTCTTTACAGTTTAAAGGGTTAACCCTTTAAACGAAATCGTGCCGTGTAATAACAGACAAGAAGAGGGATTTCGATTTAAAGTTAAAAATCGATATATGTACGTATCAGGGTAAGGAAAACCCTGGGATTTTGCTATGGAAAACCCATTCCCAGGGGTTTTATGTCGGCATTGCTTGCGGGTAGTTCAGGTAGTCGTTGTTTTGGGGATAAACTGAGTCAGTGACTCATGCATTCAGTTCTGAAAACTATCTACTTTATAAGTAATTAAGCAATAAAGCTGCGTATTAGTTATTTCTTAATAACTAATTAAATTATGGAATTGTTAATACAGCCCTGGTATCGTACTTTATAAAATTTGAGAACCCCAACTACCCGTGGGTATTGTTCAAAGTTGCTAACATGACCCGGGGTAGCATAACCTCTAGCATGTATAAAAACAAGTACAAAAAAATTAATAACTGCAGCAAATAAATAATAAAATAAAAAAATAACAAACAAAAATTACATTTTGTTGATTGCGAGTTTTTTGTACACTTCTAGGACCCAGAGCCCCTTATTTGCCAGGATGGATCTCCAATCCTGCTCAATGTTTGGGAATTTCTTGCCAACATATTCCACGTAGACGGCCATAACGGGAAAGAAACCGAGCACGAGGGGTCCCACGTGTAGCGGATATTTCCTAAAGATCGAACTAGCTTCGGAAAAGCGCGCCAAAATTTCTTCAATTTGTCTAAATCCAGCGATCGCAAAGGACGCGTCTTCTTCCTTAAGGTGGACCATTGTGGATTGAAAAGCTTGAATTTTTGCATTCATATCGGACATTGCCTGGATTAAGATGCGTTTATCAATTTCACCCGTAATAACGGCCCAAAATACTTGATTTCGTTCCTGAGTGACACCTTCAATGAATTCGAGAATGCCAGAAATTCAAAAACAATACCGATTTCAGGCAAAACTCCACCCAAGTGTATGGCACCAATGACCAGTTCGAAGTCATGAATTCTTTTGAAAGATTTCCGGTAATCAGCCATTTCCCAGGTGTCTTCGCCCGGATTGTAAAACATTTTTGTGAGTTAAAGTCCTCCATCGTCATGGAAGGGACGCTAATGAGACCGCCGTGGAGGACAATTTGCGCTGATAAATTGCTTGGCATGCAGAAGAGGAGGGTGACGATAAGAGCAATCCTTTTGTCAAAGTTCGGCATTGCTAAAAAATTAGAAAATAAAAATATACACCGAAAAATTTTACTGGCTTGTGAAAATTGGGTATAGCCCAAGTTACGTTTTTATCTTAAAATATGTACAATTAAGATTATAATTATAATCTTAATTATATTTTAATACATTAAAATTTATAATTATTATTAATTATATAATATAATTATTAACGTTATATTTATAATTATATGTATGTTTTTATTTTGATAATTATAATTATTTTATGATACTTACCGATCATGAATCACAAAATCAGTGGTAGAATGCGTAAAAATAAAAATTAAGAAACTTCAAAACTCAATAAATCTCAAGACAATTTAATAATATTGACGGACTATGTAAGAAAGAGTGACAACATAAGACGCTTTCTTAGACTTGGTGGTATTTATATACAGGAAAAAAACAGACACGGCACGCATTGTGCATGTTTGAGAGTTCAATTTCCTTCCATGAATGGTAATTATAATCACTTATAAATAAATCAATTCAGTGATACATATGTAAATTGCACTATTCTGCAATTTATAATCTACACTTATTTAATCCGTGTAATGGTTTGCTCAACTTTAACTTAACGAAATGTATAATTGACGCATTTGTTACATGGGGCCAACAAACTTGAATGACATATCGTTTAGAAATACATTCATGCTCGTCATTATAATTATATGTATGTAACTTATTTATTATGAGTTGGAGATTATTAAGCTATGGCTGGATTCTTTAAAAAACAAGAAGAAGCAAAAGACGCGTCCCAAAATCGTAATCAATAGACAAGTTCTTCATTCATTATTTGTGAATAATGACCCCAATATATTTTCATAATATCATAATTTTTTTAGGTTTTCTGCACTTGTTTTGTGCTCAATTTATGCCGTATGACTTCCTCAATAATCAGCAATAAAATTCTTACCATCATATTTACTTAACATACTTTATCATCAAGGGTTTTTGTCTTTTCACTCAAAGAAATTTTGTCCCCGTCCAAAATCAAGTCCATCCTTGCTTTAGGAGAATAATAAATAGCTTGACGACATGTCGTCAAAAAGGGTGGAATTTTATGAAATTTTGAATATAAACTACAAATTCATTTTGTAGGCACGTATGTATATAGAACTAGCATCATCAAAAATCAGATAAATTTAATATCCTTTTCAACCTAACATCTTGTACTTTACATTATTTTATAAGTTGTAATATCTTGTTGTGTACATAGAACACCCGTTGCCTATTTATTTATATAAATTATATAGAGCCACTTTTAAATCGTGCAATCTCTGTATGTACAAGAACCTTCGTAGGTTTGTCATCCCACTAAAAAACTAATCGAACAATAATATAAATAGATTCCAAATTCTTAAAAAACTGATAAAAACTGACAATTTTTCTTTTCTGCAACCCGAAACTTGACTCGTGCCTGGATATTATAATGCCCATTTTTCAACACGATTTCAAGTCCATCATCCATGTTAAGTCGGCATGACACACTATCTTCAAACGGATACAATGTTTCAATTGAGTTAGGCCAATAAGAAATTGATTATGGTATTGTGGTGGAAAATCAAAATTTAGTGAATTGTTAAAAGTAAATATAAAATAAATAATAAAATATAAATTTATTTCTAGATAATTTTTGTTATCATATCAATATTTGAAATTGGAGATGTGAGCAAGGTTTAAAATAAGAGGATATGCTCCTTAACACTTCTCTGCTAACCGGTTCACATGTTGGCCATGATGTTTCTCACATTCAGGCAGGGGTATCTCATCCATGAGGTCTAATTAAATTAATTCTAAATAAGACCAACAGAATACTTTAATTGCTTCATAAGATATTAAGTACTCACAATCGTCTTGCTTCTTGAGATCTTTCGGATAAGATGCAAAACAGCAACATCGGCAACAGAAACAACAGCTCCAGATAACGGCGATTAAAACGATGAGAATGATTGCGAGTTCAATACCAATTACCCAAAACACCCTGCCCTCACGAGAAATAAATAAATCGTCATAAATTGGTTGGAATAAGAGCAATTTAAAAATCTGCTTAAACAACAAAATCTACTTACCAACCCGGGACTTCATCGTCATAGTAGAAAGTTCCATTGTATTTGTGGCAGATTTCCTCAGAGCAGAAAGCGCAATACGAGGGGCACTCGAAGTCCGACGTTTCCGTTGTAGATGTAAACGAACCCTCCAGTGTGGCACATTGAAGGTAAGAGAACACCGAGAAAAATACCAACAATTTTATCCAACCAATCATTTTCTGTTATGATCAGGATTAAATGAGAATGAGAATGAGTAAAGGTTAGGTTATAACAGAAGTTGGGGTTGATGAGATATTTAGTTAATGTGTAGAATAGAGACCAGTAATCTTCCAGGCGTCATCAGAATGGTAATCAGTTTCATCATAAAATTCCTGCTTAGGTTGATGATGGATAGGGCGAGTGAGTGGATAAGTCATAAATGGGTGCCCATTGGTATGACGTAAATATGTAAAATCGTATTCAGTTATATATGCTGTAGGTAATCGAGTTGTATTAGTTTCGCAATATGTGAACAACATAGCACGACGTGAAGCACATTCTCTTCTTTTTAACCTTGCTGTCATAAGCATTATCACAACAATCGGGCTGACAGGGATAAATATCTAAACCCAATTAATTGAGTCATCACGCTCAACTGAATACATATTATAAATCGCATCACTGTGAGTGATTTTCTTTGGTATGGTTTGTCTGAGAATTCTGAAAATTTTATCCTAATAGATATTTACAAGCAATTTACACAAAAACATTGTTAGAATTTGTGCCCGATCATTTGATCCCGATGTTGGAGCGCGGTAAGTTTAAACAAATAAGAATGGGCGACTCTATGTATGATATGCATTACTTACTGCACGATAATTAATAATATGTAGTTAGAGACGATCCTTGGTTTGACAGTTCTACATAACTTAGAAAAAATAATTTTACTGACATTGTTGATACATTTGTAAAGCTTGTTACATATTTAAATAATAAAAATCTCGATGTGTATAGTATGCGTCCATATTTTACTGGAAGATATTTTTTTATAATATCAATATCTATAATTGTTGGAGGGGACACGGTTGAAATTACGAAAATAAGGAGTATCAGCACTTCTCAATAAGCGGATTTACATGCTGGCCATTATTCGGTTCAAATTTAGGCGGAGTTGATCCGTGGATGAGGGCTAATTACAGTAATTCTTAATTATTCATAAACCAAGTATTTATGAAATGAATACTATAACTGTTTGGCTGTAAAATGTAAAGGACTTACAAACATCGTGCAACTTAGATACTCTCTGCCTTGGATAAGACGCAAAACAGCAACAGCGGCAACAGAAACACGCACAAAGGATAATACCGACGAAAACTGATATCCCGAACGCGGTTGATGTACCTATTATCCAACCCACCCTGAAACCAGAATACTTTTTAACATCTATCGTTAAACACACTTAGAAATAATCTTGATTTTTTTGCAAGGTAACGGCATATTTTACTCTAGATATTTTTTTCACACAGATTTTCAAATTACTTCAAATTAATTCAAATTATCTCAGAGTATGAAGTTCCCCTGCCCGAAAATTTTAAAATATGTCAACAAATTTACACACTTAGAAATAATTGTGTTTTTTTGCAAAGTAATGTCACATTTTACTCAAGATGAAGTAAATTATTTCTACATCCTGCGTAATACTTAGACACTTAATAAAAAGAAAATTTACGCTGGATTTAGTATAGTTTACTTCATCTGAAGTAAAACGTACCGTTACTTTTCAAAAAGTCAAAATTATTTCTAAGTGTGTAAATTTGTTGACATCTTGCCAATGTTGCGGGTAGGAGAACTTCGTAATTTGAAATAATTTGGGGTAATTTGAAAATCTGGGTGAAAAAATATTAATAATCTACTTACCATTTAGGGAGATTATCTCTATAGTGGTATGAGTAGTAGTATTTGTGACAAATTTGGTCAGCGCAATAATCGCAATGCGAGGGGCATTCGAATTGCGAAAGCTTGGATGTGAATGTAACCTGCTCATGGGGCAGGATGGAACACTGTATGAGAACAATGATTGGTAAAACTAAGGAAAACTTGATTCCACCGAACATTTTTTGTTTACTGTGTAACGAATAAGTTATGGAGAAGAGAGAGTTAAACTGAGAAATGAGAAAAATATTTCAAGTTGTATGTATGTATACGAAATCCAGTTATCTGCATTTGACGTCACTAGATTCACTTATCGTTATGGGTGTCATGATAAAAATAATAAATTTGGAGAGGTGTGCATCAAGTTGATTGTGTGAGGTACATATGCATTGCCATCCGGTACATATATATGTAAAGGGTTCGGATTTAGTTTCTCCTCACTTCAATGGGTAGGGCGAGTTCGAAGATGGACACTTATGGTCACAGCCTTCAAGGTCAAAAGGTCACGAAACAGAATTTGAGGGTCAAAAGGTCACGAAACAGCATTTAAAGGTCAAAGTGCATATATCCATTTTATAAGAAATTTAATCCCGATCTCAATGGTGACCTTCATTTTGACCTGATATTTAGGTCATCAAATTTCATGAAAGGTCACCTAGAGGTCACAGAAAGGACATGTCGAGCTATGAGGCATCGAACCATAGACCTCCGGGTACTGAAGCCGGTTCTAACCCTTAAGCCAAAAAACCAGGGCTTCTATACTCTCATGCATCCTATTTTTCCAACATTGCCGACGTCAGTGCTTCCTAATCAGTAAATTTATTCGGATGCCCAACTGTTTTTAACAAATATTATTTTGGCTATGTAGGTCGCGCAAAATGATAAAAAAACGTATACATAATTATTTTATTATTTACATAGAGTAAAATAAAATTGCTGTAGACATATATATCTAGTCGAAATTTAAACGGACAAAGTAGATGTAAATAACTTGACATTTTACTTCTTTACGTCCATAATATAATTTGCTGATCTGCCTCAAAATCCTACAAAAACCCCGGAAAACCCCACACAAGCCTGCAAAAAACCCATTAAGCATTTCGGTTTATCCGGAGATTTGATACCCCAAAAACCCCAATCCCGGGTGGCGAACCCTGGTCGTACATATCAACGCATTACCTTGCGTACATGGGTGACTATACCCCCATCATAATAAATTTGTTACCGATCCATAATAAATTTTTTACTAGGTTGAAAATTATCGTAACTATAGGATAAAATTTTTTACACACTTACAATGGAGGCGCAAACCATGTTCAGCGCAGATAATTTTTTGACCATGTTAGTTTGGAAGAACAAGTCTTTAGAAACAACATTTGGTTTGGTACTTGCGCAGATGCGCAAAATTCGGCACGTTATAGGCGCCGCAAGTTCGCAAAAATGCATGATTTTTCATGCACGGTCGAGCGCGAGCCCAGCTTTTTTCCGTCTCTGTCGCTCACTCTCTCACTTCTACGCGAGGGCATTGACCCCGCAACCCTTCATCCGCATTTTTCATCAACAATTCCGAATTGTTATATTTTCAACTATAAATTTTCCTCAATTTTGTAATGTTATAACAAAAATTTTCTCTTAATAGAAAGAATCAACACTTTTCGAATCTTTTTGTTGTCAAATAATTTTTATACCTTGTTCAGAAAACGTTTGGCAGAAGATACATACCCGATGCAGACCAGAGAAAGAACAAATTGAAGAAATTCTTGTCCAAAAATCTTATAAAATTACTAAATTACGGGTGAATTAATTCCAAAATTTATAGTTAAAAATACAACAATTCGGAATTATTAGTGAAAAATGGGGATGACGAAGGATTACGACGTCAATATCCTCGCCTCGGAACGAGAGAGACGGAAAAAAGCTGGGCTCGCGCTCGACCGTGCATGAAAAATCATGCGTTTTTGCGAACTTGCGGCGCCTATAACGTGCTGAATTTTGCGCATCTGCGCAAGTGCCAAACCAAATGTTATTTCTAAAGACTTGCTCTTCCAAACTAACATGGTCAAAAAATTATATGCGCTGAACATGGTTTGCGCCTCCATTGTTAGTGGCAGATTTATTATCATGGAGATATAGCCACTAATCACGTTTTTAAGTGCAAATAATTACCTTACTAAATATTTTTGAGCTCTAACATTTTTGCCAACGTTTACTTTGGTAAATATTATTTTAGTTATTTATTACGGCGATGAGTTCGGCTTAATTGACGATGGATTATTGGACATGACTTTTGGCATGATTTTCGTCCACATTCAACCACTTGGACCGACCTTGCAGCATTTACAGGAAAGAGAAAGCATTCGCTATTGGGGGGCTCACTTTCTTTCGAAAACATTCTACAATTCTGGCCTTGGTATATTATTTTTTTAAGAAATTTTATTTATTTATTGGTTTATGAACAGTAGTAAAGATAATTTTCACATTTCAGGTGTCGCACTTTTTGGCATTGTAGAACTTATTCTATGCTACGCGGCCATATTTGGAACTGCATATGCTGCAATTCAACTTATGATTTATGCACAAACGACCCGATATTGGCTCGATGTTCTAGAGTAAGCGTATTTTAAATTAAGGACGTCATAAATTAAACTACGATTGTAACAAATGCAATGGACATCAATTATTTTTGTTTGTTTTTTAATTGGTGTTCATTCATTTATTTAGAAAAGATTCACAAAAAACGTTCGCCCGATCATGGCTGAATCTCAAGAATTTAAAACTGTATCGAACTCTCGCAGTTTTGAACGGTATACACAATGAGGCTTGCTCTCCCGTTTTATGGCCAAGTAAGACAAGATTTCACAATTTATCAAATTAATAAGTATTAAATAAATGGTAAAATCGGTACACAACGTACACTGTAAATTTGGTAATAATTTTTGTGATTTATTACCGAATTCGTAACGCATATGACTCTGCAGATACGGTAATAACGCGCATTACATTTGGTAAAGATTTGGTAATAAATCTTAACCATGTTGGTAATAATTTGTTACCAATTTGTAGTAAAAGTCTACCAACTGTTGTAAAATGTTTACCAAAATTCGTAACGTATATGACTCTGCAAAATTATTTACAGTGTAAGAGTTATTTATTTACAAGGTAATTGTGGAAAGTTTTATCCCAGATTTTAAGCAGATAGGGACAGGGAGATTGAGATACTACTGAAATTTTCCCGGAAATTATCCATATTTTTTGCATGTATTTTTCCTCATGACAGTTGGTTAACAATAACTTTTCATCATAATTATGTATATATTGGTAATTGAGCAACTAAGAATGCGATGGTGTGAAGTGTAACCCTCCGATTTGGTTGAAATTTTGAAATTATGTGGTCCATGTCAATACAACCAGCGTTTCTTCAGGCAGTTTATGCGATGGTCAGAATTTGTCAAAATATTTGAGGTCAAAGTTGAAAAATATGCGATTTTTAGCACAGGAAGGGAATGGAAGTGGATTTCACTTCCTTCGCATGCGAAAAATCGCCGTTCTTCAACTTTGCCTTTAAAAATTTTGGCAAATTCTGACCATGGTACAAACTGTCTGTAGAAACGTGGGTTGTATTGACATGGACCACATAATTTCAAAATTTCAACCAAATCGGAGGTTTGCACTTCACACCATCGTATTGTAAGTACATAAAATCCAATATTTCTACAGTTACACAACACGTTCTCTGCACGCTGCATGTTATTTGCAACGTCCTCATCATAAAATGCTTTCGCCTTCTGCCACTCCCGATCCGCTCCATCTTGGCCCTGAGCACGTTCGCGTTCGCCTTTTTTGAGCAAAGTTGTCTCAAGGCGGCGGCAGATGTTTATAAAATTTCGAAACGATTTCGAGACCGTATGGGACGGGATGCAGCGAAAAGAAATCGCATCGTGGGGAAATCGCTGAGATGTTTGCGAATTCAAGTTAGTGACGCGTATCACTTTAAGATATCTACTTTCGTCACCTTCACGCAATCTGTGGTAGAAAATACGATTAATGTTATGCTCACTTTCTTTTAATTTAATGGTAAATGGTTTTGAATTATGAACAATTAACGATTTGCCAAATTGTAGTGTGAGCTGTCTAGCAGGGTTAGTCAGTGGGAACAAAAAAAAACAAACAATAAAACAAAACAATTATAAAATATTTATATATCGCTGTAACCATAAATTTGAATCTATATTTTTAGAAATGGTGTTTAACGAATTCAACAGCGTAACATGTTCGGAATTCGATCGATAATCGCGAATTTGCAAAAGTGAGTATTCACTTTTAGTTTATTCTGTATGTAAATTTCTTACGATAATTTTTGTATTTTTAGCAGATTCTGTAATTTTTACATATTCTAAGAAATTATGTTCGTAATTATGTATTGGCGCTACCAAAATTGCGCCGATTAGAAATACCGTGCATCTATTTATGGATTTATGTAGTAAGGGCTCGGTATTAAAATTAGGGGTCGCATCCCCGGACCACTTTTTTTATTCCCCGGGGATCGGGGAATCCTCGTTCCCCGGGAAATTCCCCGGGGTTCCCCGCTTTGCCGTATTATTAAATTAGTTGAAATTTGACCATATTTATATTAAAAAAGTAGGTAAATTTGTATTAGTTTTATTTAAATTCAAGTTTATTTATTTTCTTGAAAAAAGAACAAACAAAACTACTACTCGGCAGATCGCTTAAAGTATGATTTCAGGTAGCACAAATCATCCAATGTCGAGTCAGATAGCCTGGACCTAAACTTGTTGCACACATACCCCGACACTGAAAAAGCTCTCTCGGATTCAACACTGGTGGGCTTAACAGTTAGCAAATAATCATAAATTAATGACAAGTTGTAACCTCTAGTCCCACCATCCTCGAAAAGTTTCATTTCCTGCCTCAAAGTCGTAAGAAGGGTCTGAGATTTCTTTGACTTTTCGGTTGTCGGCGGGGTCATAGCTTTCTTCATGATCTCGTTTAGCTCGTCCTTAAAGGTGGCCGCCGCGCTTGGTTGCACCGTGAAGTCTTCATTTGCAGGAGTATCATTCGATTCTTCATCGCCCACCACGGTTCCAATTCTTGTCCGGGTTAGCATTTTCTTCAGGAAATTCTGCACTTCAGTTCGAGTTATAGTGTCAGCGAGTTCTTCATCTTCATTTGCATAGACTCGGTTATGCAAATATCGCAGAACCTTTGTTAGTTCAGTTCTCCTTTCCATAACACGGAATTTAATGGATGACGCCAGTTCGAGTGAAACCGAGGATTTTTGAGCCCGTAGTTTGGAAATTACAAGGTTGAGCGCAGCATCTGTAGTTATTAGATTCGATTCTCGGTTGCAAATGACTTCCACCGCGGCCCGTATTGGCTTCAGTGCTTCCATAACTTGAAATATGTAGTTAAATTCCTGTTCTTCGAAATTGGTGGCTACTCGTAAATCGATAAAAGCTTTCTTAATACAGGTTCGAATTAAATGAAATCTTTCGATCATTGCGGCCAGGCTGTTCCAACGGGTTCGGCAATCAAGGATTAAGTTAAGTTCCTTTTGGAATTCTGACTTCACATAATTTTGAAGGATTTCATTCTTCTTTGGGGATCTGCGAAACATCTTTACAGTAGAACGGATCTTGTCAATTATTGGCTTAAGAATTGGATTTAGTGAAGGAGCATCAGATTCTTCAGTCAAATCAAAATCTGTCTCGGCATTCTCATCATCAGGGGATGCGTACTCTACAAACTCGGACCCCTCGTCGTCACTGAAACTGGAATTTTCATCTATGGCCTGAAATATTAGAAATTGGTTTAAAATTCCTTATCGTATATTCACTAGGGAAGCCGTTGGAGTTCATACCTCTAAATTGTCAGTATCTCCAACGTTTTCTCCTTTGGCATAAAGGACATCAAGCACGGCGAGCTGAATTCCATGAGCAAGACAAAGTTGTTGAAATGTAGGTGCAGCGTCCCTTCCAATCTTTTTCATTACAGATGACCCATCAGTAATAATTGCTACTATATCCTTATGGAGGTTCAATCCGACGCTTGTTATTTTCTCGTCAACAAGTTGCAGGCAATTTTCAGCAGTGGCGGAACCCAGAATCGGCACTAGCCCCAAATTCCAGAATTGTTGTTGTTTTCCAAGAAGTATGACGCTAAGGTACCGTCGATTCCGCATGGATGTCCATTCGTCAAACGTAATACTAAACTTCGTCCCTTGCTCGTTCAACTGCATGATTTCCTTTCTGTCGTTGTCCCTTAGACTTTGGGCAAATTTCCGGACTTTTGATTTGATTGCATTAGGGGAAGAAAGTACTTCAGAAAATCCACGACTTTTCAATCCCGCTCGAATATCATACGAATTTGCCATTACTTGAAAACTTAATCCATCCAGCGCAGCCATCCTAGCGTAGGCAATCTGAAGGGTATCGTGTTTAACTGACAGGTAGTCCGTAATTCGTTTAGATTTTTTAGATGCGTGTTCCCGTTGGCGGCCTGCAAATTTAAATTTCACTTATTAGTAAAAATTTTCATGTAATTAGCTTCCTTGTGTTCAGTATGTAGTACATGTGTTGACATTTATTATCAATATTTATCATACCCGAATCAAGGTCAACGCTGGTTAAATTGATGATATCGAGGTCTACGTTATGTATACGCTTCAGATGATCCCGACATCCCTTAGTTGACCCACCTGAGGTCTTCAGAATTGGTTTTTTACATTCCGGATCCTTGCACTTTGCTGTAGCTCCAGTGGACTCTTTCAAAAAGTAGTGCCAAATTGAATTGACTTGACTGGACTTCCCCGGGACTTCAATGTAATTTGTCTCCGTGATTGAACTCATTTTAATCAGATAAGTCAAACTTGTACAATTAATTAACTAACAGCCAAATAAATACACCGGTAGCTGTTTCATGCGAGAGAGATGGGAAAATAAAGGTTTGAGTTACGCGGATTGATTTTTCTCACGTTTGACCATAGCTAAATTTTCCCCGGAGAGATGACTACTCTGCTTCGGGGAAGCGGCGACGGGGTTCCCCGATCCCCGGGGAATCCCGGACGGGGTTTTCCCGGGGATGCGACCCCTAATTAAAATCTCGTTAGTAAATTTGTATGCGACGGTAAGACTTAAATACCAAGCAGGAGCAATTTATTTGAATACCGTGAAATCGTTACCAGATTTCTGACGGTGTGGTGTTGTGTTAATCAGTAGTTTAATCATTAGTAAACAATTAAAATATTTTTAATACTGGATTTAATCCAGTGGATTAATACAATGTTTTGTAATTAATAAGTCAATATTGAAACGGAGACTTTACCGATCTATATAAATTTACAATATCTAACGTGTCACTTGCATGCATCAATTCACAATACTGCTCAACTTAGGATTAAGCCTGCGTGATATTTTATCTCCTCGCTCTATTGAGCGAGAAGAGCTCTCGCTCTGCATTTCCTCTCTATACTACGCATGAGTCCAGAAGTCTGACCGTATTTTTCACTTTGAGAGTTTCAAAGTGGACGCAAAAATTTGAAATTTTCACAATATAATTATTAATAGTTTTGCAACAAATTACCATTCATCGATAAGCAATTGTGATTGTAGATTTATTTATATTAATCAATAATCTCAATATTACCGAAATTTGCACAAATATTGATTAATATAAATAAAACTACAATCACAATTGCTTATCGATGAATGGTAATTTGTTGCAAAACTAATGACAGCTATATTCTGAAAATTTCAAACTTGAAACCCGCAAAGTGAAAAATGATGTCAAAATTGTACTACTTTTTGAGATTAGTCTCAACTCGTCATAGAGTATGTGTGGTGGGAAGCTGCCACCACACACTGGAAACCACTAAAAACATAAACAACTCCAGATGAGTTTTGCAGTTTTTTGCAAATAATTCAAAATTCCCACCGAAACTCGTGAACTTTTTACCCCGCCGAGTTCATCAGTTTCGCCACTAAAGGGTGTTAATAAAGTCCGATCCCATGCATTTTTTGGAGCGTGGTTGTTACAAATTCAGCTATAACTTTTGAACCAGTGAAGTTATTTATTTCAAATTTTTACCATGGGAGGAACAACTAAACGTGTAAGTCATGAGCATCTTAGAGTTGAGATACAAACATTGCATCAGCAGGGGCTTAAACCTACAGAAATTGTGCAAAAATTGGGCTGCAGCCGCAGAACTGTTTGGAAATGGAAGAATAAAAATTTTGTCCACGACAAAAAGCGACCAGGGCGACCCAGAAAGGTGTCACCTACCACAAAAAGAATGATTAAAAACAGACTTTGCAAGAAAACCGGTAGTTCATTACGTAATTGAGCAAGGGAGTTAAATGACTCAAAACGCTATAAAGAGAAGAAGAAGCAAATTAACTGTGTGACCGTGCAAAAATTTGTGAAAACTACGAAGTGGGGTCACACAGCTTACAAACTAACCAAAAAAACCTCTCATGTCACAAAAATATATCGATGACCGTCTGAAATTTGAAGAACTCCTTCAGAAAAGTGCCCATTTGAGTGAAAAAAGACTTGGTGAAGAATTGCGCAGTCACATCCTTTGGACTGACGAATCTATTATTGAACTATATCCAAAATTGAACCAACAAAATGTTCGTTACAGGACAGAAAACAAATCGGATGTACCATCAAGAGCGATCCCAAAATTCGGGCTTAAAGTTATGGTAGCGGGTGGATTTTGTGCACGTTGCGTGACCCCTCTACATATCATACCAAAAGGCCAATCAGTCAATGCAAAGCATTATATGGAAAAAATATTACCTATCTATTTCGATAGCATGGGGAACAAGGAAATATTTCCGAATGAAAGAAAAATAGTTTTCATGCAGGATGGTGCTATAGCCCATACAGCAAAAGCGAGTTTGAGTCTCATCAAGACGCAAGTTTCAACGGTCTGGAGCAAGGGGGTGTGGGCCGCTAACGGCCCAGATTTGAATCCCCTGAAGAACCAGTGGTCCATACTTAAGGAAAATGTATACAAAGAGCCACAACCCCGGACGAGGGAAGAGCTAGTAAAAACAAGTTCAAGATGTATGGAATTCGATTTCCAGAGGCACATTGGAAAAATTAGCACAGAGCCTTAAACAACGAGTTGAGGGCATGGTTAAAGTAAATGGTAACAAGACCAAATACTAAGGTAAATATGTCGAACATTTTTTGTAAGTATCACGGGTAGTTTTTTTTTATACTAGCCTTCACTTTTTTACAAGAAAAATGGGATCGGACTTTATTAACACCCTGTATGTGATGGATAAGGATTTGTTTAACATGAAATATAGCCAATTCTTAATTAAGAATTCCGTGTGCATGCATGAAATACCAATCATTATATGGAAGCGAACGCAACACTCTATGGTGAAACAATCCTCATGCTATACGAGTTGCCGGTACTAGTACCGACGAGAAAAATATACTAGTGAGTTCATATCTATACAAGCGAAGCTACATCAGTCATCCATGGTGTGCATGTACTTATTTTTAAAAAGGGTTACATTACTTCTAAAGGCGTACAAGATATTTGTCAGAGCAAAATATGTGACAAAGTTTACATTTACATAAATACATATGTATGTATGCACATTATTCATCACACCCTGATACATATTTCCCACGTTATGTAGTCAGGTAAAAAAGGGACGGATGAAATTCCGTGGAAAACTCCGTGTGGAATTTTTAGCCTCGTATATATGTAAAATCTCACATTTTCGTCCCGTCTTAACTGGGTTAAATTTATCCCACATTTCTCAGAAAAAATGACCCTTTTTTAAGTGGTCCTTCGTGAAGGCCAAGACCACGCCGACCTCCTTAAATAATGTAATGTATCGCGATTTCTTACTCAATACGATTTCTACCTCTTTCGCGTAAAGTGCTTAGAGTGTAGCATTATGAAGCTTTACATCAATTCCATTACAGAAATATTGTGCCAAGCATAAAAGTGAAGTGGAAACGTAAAATATGGAAAACAATTGTTCATGTTTTTCTACAAACTTGAAGCAGAAATCCAGAGAGAATTTCGCAACGTTATATGGTAAGCAAATAATTAGTTAATTTACATAATTGGTGTCAATTTGCGTAGGATTAATAATAAATCAAGTTTTAATTGCTAAATCTTATTAGGTATGTAGTTGTAGCACTCGAATTAAAAATTTAGTAAGCGTTTAAATTTAAAAATTCAATCTTTAAGAATGTAATTCAATTAGTAAATTCATAATTTCGTATTAAATACATATAAAAAATCTCAAATAAAGATTTCTGTCTAATAAAAAATTAATTTGTTTCTGAAATTTGACATGGAATTAATGTTATCAGAATTTGGGATTTTTAAAAAGTAGTATATTTTTGATTGCAGAAAATCCACATTAGTGTGTGCACCTAAATTCCTGGACCGCATGGAACAAAATTTGCTACAACTTTGCGACGATCTTTTTCTCTCTCGAGGTAAGGAAAACAGCCAAATTTTTATTGTTAGCTTATTGGCATTGAACTTCGAGTAGCATCTATACATGGTCATAAATAATTGTAATTTATAGTTAAATTTATTGCTATTTAATACATATGACGATATGTTAACTCTCTGACTACAATTATTCAGAGTTTTTTTTTATGAAATCAATTCGCCTGTTTTCATTTAATCTACAAACTTGGGAAAATACACATTACCTTAGACTTTAAGTTCTTATGGTACAATTTTGTGGTAGCCATTGCAGGGTAGTTGATACAATATATACTTTAAAAAATAATCCTACCCCTATGAAAAGCAAAGGCACTCTTAATTCTGTATAAAGTAACCTATATATACCAAATCCAGAGTAACGTTGACTCGATAAGAGGTAAAGTTTACCCTGGATTTAGTAGTGAACCTACTAAATATAAAATTAAAAGTGCATTTACTTTTCAAAAGGGTAACGTTATCTTGAAGGGTGGAGTACTTAGGAGGGGAGCTTGCGAGGTTGATAATAACAGATCTTGGTGCCCTTTGGATATGTGGTAGGGACCCATGAGTGTACTAAAACCCTGAAGTAGTTTGACTCCATGGCCACATTTGCGCCCGCCACACCCACTCAAAAATGTCCAAAAAACGCTTTCACCCCAGTTTTCACTCACTCAAATCCACGCCAAAAATCCAATTTTACTCGGATTTTGAAATTTCTTTCACCATTATACTCCCAGATAGTTGCTTTCTTCAATCCAATATCAAACTCAAACTCAATATCAAACAAGCAACTATCTGGGAGTATAATGGTGAAAGAAATTTCAAAATCCGAGTAAAATTGGATTTTTGGCGTGGATTTGAGTGAGTGAAAACTGGGGTGAAAGCGTTTTTTGGACATTTTTGAGTGGGTGTGGCGGGCGCAAATGTGGCCATGGAGTCAAACTACTTCAGGGTTTTAGTACACTCATGGGTCCCTACCACATATCCAAAGGGCACCAAGATCTGTTATTATCAACCTCGCAAGCTCCCCTCCTTAGTTTTGTGTATTTACATGTTTTTTATGCAATGCTAATTATCTTTTGATACTTCAGATTCAATGGAACTCCCACATCCAAGGCTGGCCCACGCTTCCTACTGGAAATTTGCACACTGGAAAATGCATGAAACGACTTTCAGCAGCGTCTCACCTCAGTTATGGACCACTCTCCAGGAAGTCACCATTCGATAATTCGGATCAACATCGTCCACTTCCTCCTGCAACAAGTAATGTAGCGTCTTCTAATTCGGTTTAAATAAGTTTATCCGCTTCAAAAATAGAGATATATGTACTGATCTTACCTTAAACATAACCGATAACTACACAAATTATTTCAGCATTTGAGCTTCTAAGTTTGCCAATTTTTCAATGACATCTACAATTTTATTACAAAATTATTTATATTAAGTTGCATAAATTTAACTCGTCCAACTTTTGTAAGCAGAATTTTTACGTATGTATTCGTCTTATCTGTTTTGATGATACTCAGAGTTTGGGGAATATTAACTAATTCGAAGTTAGTTTCCCGTGCAATCGAAAAATTTAGCACATTCGAGCCGCTTTCATAAGTTCGTTGGCCAATCAAATCCTGTCCCCAGTGACGCGGGTGTCAAAAAAGCAGATACACATCACGTGGCTATTATTTAGATAATCATTTTTCGTCAATTTTTATGAACATTTTCGTTTATATTTGTTACTCTATTGCTAAATTGAAGTCGACCTTCCTCCTGTTTTCATATTTGGCCAGTGTAATGTCACTATTCTATTGTCCGGTTCGGAATAATCCTGAAATACTAGAAAAGCGCATGGGTCCATTTGTTTGACAAACATGTACAATTTGTTGAATAAGGTTAAGTCTGCTACATATATATAAATAATTACAATACCGTATTATCGTTGGGTTAAGCGTAGGCAAATTATGCGATTCCATTATTCACTCCTTCGATCTCCTAACCGGGTCTCTATCGAACATAATCATGAAGAATTCATCACGTTTTTTCTTCTTTGCAAACAAGTAATACATAGTATACTGGCGTACGTACCAAAATAGTGAATATTTTGATTTGTGCAAATTGAATTTGCCAAATTCACTCGCCTGTAAGGAGTTTCGTACCCGTAATTCGGAACCTCGTCATGCACATCGAAATGGTTGGGATGATGGCTATCACTTCATGGAAGTTGCGTGTGACGGGAAGATATCCAGATGGAATGGGTGAGTGGAGGTCCAAGCCGTCGTCCCCGATAGAGTCCATTCCGCCGGCATGTGGTAGTAGGGGATCGGTTCCGCAAGTGTAATGCGATGGTCTGCAAAAGATATCCCAAGGACATCAGTCAGAAGTTGATAGGCATGGCGATTGTATCGTTATAGCTTGGGTCAAAGTAAGCAACAAGATTTTTTTTTAGTCTCCACGAAATGTAATGTGGAATGACTACGATCAGAAAATGGATCTTTTAATAATCACGGTAAAAAGAGGTGGAAAACCCAATAGGAATAAAAATAAAATCTTTTTCCTTCATATCTAGTAGGAATTGATAGTTAGTATAGTAATAGCGAAAACTGCTGGTAATAGACAGCAAACATACAGCATATCTCAACATCTTGTTGGTGATGAAGCCCTAAATTTGTTCGTGGTAATATCCTAGTACTCGAAAGAGTTGTCGCAAGAAACAGTAGTTATGTCATAACTTCGTGGGGCTGACCGCGTCTTGGTTGTGACGAAATTGTGATCGTAGTCGGCACCCCATTTGAGTCCACGCCATAGTTGTAATCCTCGTATGCCGTACATACATTTATATACAATTAATTCTCTACCAAAAGTAATCCACGGTAATTGGATAGGAAAATGGGAACCTTCGCCGATGCCTGTTTCCATATTTAAATCATATTGAAACCCATGTGACGAATCGAATAACGTGCATAGTGCTTAATCTATGCATTTTAGAATGAAACATCTAAAAGTCTCGTTTTATAATGTACAACATAAATATTTTAATCATTTATTACTTGTTGATTGTCAACACAATAATACAACGTTTACCTTTCATTACTTAATTGGCGATGTGTAAGTATGTACATGTGTATATTTTTCGGTATGAATATCAACTGTTGAAAATAACATGAATGCCAAAAATCATCAATATTTTTGCAATGCATACCAAAGTGTATGCAATTATGTAACTTAAAGGCTCTACTATACATACACTCATGCGAACAATTATCCGGTGGTGAGATCGCTACATACATATGAAAATGTATTTTTCTCAAAAACTACAAGTGATTTTCTGTTGATTCTTTTTCCAATTTGTGCCTAAATTAAGTGGGAAGGTTATCCCGTAAAACGAGTTTCGAAAAAAGTTCTACGTGGGCAAAACAAGATATTTCTTAGACTATTTAAAATCAAGGTGGGATTAATTATTTGGTATTTTTGTTCATCCACTGAAAAATTATTATTTTGACTTGATAGTTACTTGTTTGAATGCATATATTGGTCTTCAGTTTCCTCATAATTCTGACTTTAGATCAGAATTATGGGTCATTGAATATTTTAAGAAATTTTAAGAAATGACTACTTTTCGCTTGACCAATGCCCGTAAGACATCAATCATAGCCAATTTTGCGTAAATGTCTGTCCATTTTCCGAGTAAATATTTAATTAATCAAAGTCAGTGATTTAATTTACAAAGAATTAAGTTTAGTTTGTGGATCGTTCATTTTAGAAAAATAATCAAATCCTTAAGATGTATTGGCACCAAGTGATACTTTCCCAATTATTTTGATGCGATATATACTTTGTAACGTATTCGCGTGAAACTCTGTAATTCGTTCGCGTGAATTTGTATCTACATATAGTTCAAAAATGTCATGCCTCCTACAATCACGGCAAATATACATAATAAATTCTGCATAATATTTGACGCATTTACGAACATGAATCATGAATCGTGCCTAATGCAGATTCCTCGTCAAACAGTACAACAATAAATTCGCCCCTGGCCACATTTTTTTGTTAGAAGATAGCAAAAAAATTGTCAGACAAGAATACTAAAAATTTTGGAATAGGCAGATTTATCCCAAACATTTCAGCAGTACCAGAGCAGGTCTGGTATTATTTGCAACAAGCGTTCCGAAAGTGTTATTCTTATCTATCGTGAGAACAGGTTGCTCCACACAAATTTGTGCTTCCTTCATAAACTAACGCCCGTTTTCCAAGCAGTACAAGGATTTTAACGGCCGTATTCTTAATGCAAAATTTTTGACAGTGAGTGGGAGTGGCCACTCAAATTTTGTATTCTTTAACATGGTGAGTGGGAGTGGCCACACACACTCAGGTTGGAAATTTTGCATTTAGAATACGGCCGTAAGCATACGTTAGCGCAATACAAGTAGTACAAGGAATAAAATACATAGCGCAATGACGATTTTCTAGCGCAGTATTATGGTAAATCAATTGAGAGCTCCATGCCGCCATATATTTATAACGATCAAGATTTATGTTGGTTGAAATATTGGTCCTCTATTTTTGATTAGCTACATATTATGTATATTAAGTTATCGACATTTTCATATATAAACATAATAAATACAAGAATTTTAAGAAATGACTATTTTTCGCTTGACCAATGCTGAAAGATATCAATCGTAGCCCAGCTTGTGTAAATGTCGCTAATTTGCGAGAACTAGCGAACCACTTAATTAATCAAGCTCAATAATTTGATACGAAGAATGGTATAGGTCGTAGATTGTTTAGTTTGAAAAAAAACAAATGATTAAGATATAAATATTGGCACCAATTGATGCTTTTCCAATTATTTGGATGCGAGATATACATTGTAACGCATTCACGTGAAACTTTGTAATTCGTTCACGTGAATTTATATCTATAGTTCAAAAAATGTGAGGCCTCCTACAATCACGGCAAATATACATAATAAATTCTACATAATATTTGACGCATTTACGAACACGTCATTAATCGTGCCTAATGCAGATTCCTCGTCAAACAGTACAACAATAAACTCGCCCCTGACCACATTTTCTTTGTTAGAAGATAGCAAAAAAATCGTCACACAAGAATACTTAAAATTTTGGAATAGGCAGATTTGCTCGTCTGAATGGGAAAGGAGGTATGGTGGATACCATACCGTGGGTTCTCTTCATCCTCGTTGACGCTTTAGGGACGTTAGAGAGGTGTGTCTTTTTTGAGTCAAAATTTTGTCTCCATATCCAGCTCACTTTCCATGATGTTTATTGGGTGAAAAACTAACAGGAGTTTCGGATTGATCGATAAGGTTATTCTTGGTGTTACACAAATGGTGTAACGCTTCACTGGGAGTCAAATATGAGAAAAAAATCACAAAAATCTAAATAGACATTCAAGCGTTAGTGTATGTATAATCAATTAAATTAAAATACATTTTTAGGTTTGTACTGTATCAAGCTTAAAAAGTACAAATAATCATTTGTAGAAGAAACTTTGTTAGCGACGACAGGAAAGAAAATTGCTTGCTAAAGTATTAGATTTCTTCCAATTATCGTATCACTCGCTATTATGCGAAAAGATGCCGATGACATACATTTCAATGCTTAGATTAGGTTAGTTTTATGTTTATGCATCTTCGTTTGCAAATTTTGTTACGAAGTAACTAGGGATACTTAAACATTCTATTTCCAGCTTTCGTATAGCAAATAATTTTGAACCAAAAACGAAAATGAAACTTTAGTACGTCTTTAATTACATAGGGTGACTTTCCCGACGATCTATGTAAGTATGTATACCTATGTTTATAAGTAGATTAACGAGTACGGAAGTTCATGCAAATATTTAATTAGATTAGTATTGATAGTTAATAATTAAGTGTTTTTAAATTTCTATGACAAACTGGTCCTGGTACAACCTATCTTAATTTCTCTATAATTAGTTAGTCAAGGTTAGTACCTTACGAATAATTATTAAATCCGTCGATCCTTCATTCACGTGAAACTTTGTAATATGTTCACATGAATTTATACTCGTGCATACTCAGGGTTGATGTGGCCAATTATAATTTTGAAACATTGGGCAAGTCTGTGTCTGCTTAGGGTATTGACGAAAATAAGCAGCGGCGAAAGTAATAAATAGGAATATAAAAATAAGTTTTATTTTTTTCACACAGGTTTAAAAGAAAATCGGAGTTACTGTAGAAATAGTGCGTACTATTATGAAAACTTTGTCACTAATTAATCGTAGATCTACGATATTCTTCACCTCAATTTGTCTTCCACACTTTGACTGTCTCTACACATGTACCTGTAAAAATTAATTAATTAGGAACGTTTATCAACCTAATGGTACACACAAGCTGGGATTGGACAATTATTCCATTGGGGTGAAAAATTACTGAAATGTAGAGAACTGTCATTTTTGTCGTGGTCTGTATTCACGAAGAGACATCTAATGATCCATTAAACTTTGAAATGAAATAGATCTATTAAAAAAAGATTTTCGCTTGCTGATAATGCGTGAAGAAAATTTGTTTACTTTACAAAAATATTACACGCATATTCGTAACAATATTCTCAGTTTTTATTGAAAGATAGGTTGCATAAGAATTGAATTACATGACATTCTCAATTAAATTCAAGTCGATCCCCTGGATAATTTTATGTCCAGGTCGTGAAACTCTTGTTCTATGAATTTTAGCTTTAACTAAGCCTCGCTAAAACGATGGATTCGTAAATCGCTCATAATTAATGGGTCCTATAAACATTCAAAGTTTTAAAGATCTAGTACTGTAGAGGGCAAGACATGTTGTCTCTCATAAACTCGTGCCACCTCGATAAATAAAAGGAAATCTTGTTCCTCAGAAAACCCAGACTACCCCGATTACGAAAACCCAAGTAAA